TATCTATCTATCTATCTATCTATCTATCTATCTATCTATCTGAATCTATTCATATCTATCTATCTATCTATCTATCTATCTATCTATCTCAATTTGTTCATATCTATCTATCTCAATCTTTTCGTATCTATCTATCTATCTATCTATCTATCTATCTATCTATCATATCTATCTAATATCTATCTATCTGAATCTATCTATCTATCTATCTATCTATCTATCTATCTATCTATCTATCTCAATTTGTTCATATCTATCTATCTCAATCTTTTCGTATCTATCTATCTATCTATCTCAATTTGTTCATATCTATCTATCTCAATCTTTTCGTATCTATCTATCTATCTATCTATCTATCTATCTATCTATCTATCTATCTGAATCTATTCATATCTATCTATCTATCTATCTATCTATCTATCTATCTATCTCAATTTGTTCATATCTATCTATCTCAATCTTTTCGTATCTATCTATCTATCTATCTCAATTTGTTCATATCTATCTATCTCAATCTTTTCGTATCTATCTATCTATCTATCTCAATTTGTTCATATCTATATATCTATGTATGAGAAGGATATGAAGAACATAAAAAAGTATGTTCACGAAGAATCAGTGCTCGTATAGAGACTTTTTTTTAAAATTCTATATGCGTTATTGCAATCGTCATAGCTGAATGCTGACTTTCTTTCCATAAAACTGACAACCTTTTTAATAACTTCACCAGGAATCAGTGCTAGCATAGAGCTTAGTTTGCAAACTAGAACTCTTGGAAGCGAAGAAACATGATATCAATAAGAATATCCCTGAAATTTCACCCGAGGAAAAAGAAATTAAGAAATTTATGGAATTGAACGATATTTTGCTGCTTGTTTTGTAGAAATACCAAGTTTTACAGAAATATTTGCTTTGACTTGCATATTGTTGCTGGCTTTGTGTGTGTCTTTGGTTGATATACAGGTAATGGAACTTGCTTTTTCCGCATCTGTGGTATGGGACTTCATTTACCAACAAGTACCATATTTCTGGGTTTTTTTTGCCTATTGAGATATTTACGAGTATTCACTGATACCAGTAGATTTCTTTGTAGCTATTAAGAATTAGAGTAGGCACGGTAGAGTAATGGATAGCGACTTGGATTGAGAAATCGAAGAGCCGAGTTCGAATTCCAGTCGAATCCATTACATTCACTTATGTGCTAATACCCTTGGGAAAGGTGTGAATCCTCTTCTTCTCCCTCCAGCTATGGGTAAATAGTTGAACAGCCTGGGTTCTATAGCCTTGGATGGCATCTGGTCTAGGAGAAGGACAACTCTGAATTCAAACTCGGAGTGAATCCCCTAAGGAGGATGGACGGCACTTTTGTGCTACCTTCCAGCAACTCCTGCAGCCGCGCTGGTATCAAGCCGTATTGGTTTATCCTCCCCTTTGGACTCTGCTAGCAAGGCCGAGAGTGGGGAACTAGACGCCTGGGCAGCCCTAGTTCTCCATATATCCCGCCCCAGACTCTGCCAGCAAGGCCGAGAGTGGGGAACTAGACGTCTGGGCAGCCCTAGTTCTCCATATATCCCGCCCCAGGCTCGTAGCACACCACGCTACTCCATCGTCTCTCGAGACGGACGGATGCCGACGACGACGATTATAAATTTACTTCATGTGCAGATATTACTCCCTGAAAAACAAACTTTCATCATGATGAAATGTACTAAAATTCTTCTTTCTCAAAAAAAGTCCTGGTAACTAAGCCTTACTTCACATTTATTAAGAAAATACTAGTCGTATAATTTGGGCTAATACTGTGTTTCTTCATGTTTAGTGAGAATACCTTATTTGGTGGCAGTCTGTCCGTTCGCACGAACCGATTCTTAAAATTCTAAAAGCTTAGAAAACTGGTTGTTGGATTATCCGATAATAATCTTATATATTAATAGCCGATATAGAATGGCTAAAAATATCATTAATACCATTGCTGTAAGTTCTGCGGAAGTTGAAAGAGGATTTACTGTGATGAACATAATTTATTCTTACGAAAGAAATCATCTTGAAGTTAAAAATGTGGCAAATCTTCCGCTCATAAATTTGATAGGTCTCCCATGAGATCTTTGAGACTGGACGATTCAGTTCGAGTGTGGCAAAGAAATTATAAAGCAGCTGATGACACTAGAGTAAAAAAGTATCAGACTTCTGAACAGAAATTTGACAAGAACAGAATTTCAATTTGGAAATATCTTAGTAAATAAATGTTTTCTATTAAATTATCAAAATGTTTTAATTCCTTTTGATACTATAAAGTGATTTGTTTCCATTCTCAGATTGAAAAAAAATAAAATAAGCAGAATACGTTTCTAAAGTTTGCCTGTCTTTATAGAACCTAGAACCGGTTCCTGGAAATTTGGAATTAGTGTATAGAGGTAAGTTTATAATTTTGAATTGTGGTTGTGATATGCGCATTATTGCCTAAATATTCCATGCCAAATTTTGGATGTGTCCAACGCGTCCAATAGTCCTACAAATACGGTAATTCGCCACTGGTTGTGAATAAATGTATGATTTAAATTCGTAAAAGAGTGGAATACTGAAAATACATAAATTCGGAACCTCAGGACAATTTACAGTGTAAACAATTTTCCTTGCAATAAAATAATTATCTTTTAAATTAGCAGGAATTTTTTTGGTCAGATATTCTCTGCGATTCCTGGTGTCTCCTCCTAGGCTTTTCTAAGTCCACAAACATCATGGATGTTCTTTATCAAGTTTTGGTTATTGCTTGGCAATTCGCTGTGAATTAATCAAACATTTTTTTTCATTGGGTTTGTTGCATGATGCATATCTTGTTTAATTACGATTCCGCTATCCCGTTCCCTACCTTTGTTTGCGTTTAGTTACTCTTTGATGATCATGATTTCACGTTACTTGGTTTGAATTTGCTAACAAGAGGAATCATGAAAATCTTTAATTTTCAGAACCCCGGTATAATTTACAACCCAAACAAAGCACAACTAGAGGCGGATGATTTCTCTTAGCCTTCAAAACCGCCTTGTCGTCATTTCCAGCTTTAGTGCAAACACTAGACCCCACGAATGGAGGTTGCAATTTACGAACGACACATTTCTCTTTATTCATTTCACTCCAAGGAATGCGCTAGAGCCACTAAGACGCAAGGGGGTCACCTTGAGTGGATGTAACCGAGAAAACAATATCAAGGAATTACAATGTGACTATTGACATTTCATTTCAATTTTTGAAGATCGTAGCTGACAGGAAAAACAAAGAAGTTGGAAGAGAGTTTCACAAGCGAGAAGTTCGAAACTATAAAAATAGAATGTCCGGTTACAATTCCAACAGTAAAACAATGAGACCTAACTGCCAATCTAGTACTGCTTTTAAATTCATGAAGTCGAGCGACCAAAGAGGAAATCTCATCAGGGCAATTGCCATGAAAATGTTTATAGAAAAGAAGATAATTTTTGTTACAGCAATGGGGAAATGATTAAGCCGCGAGATGCCAGATCATGACCGATAATATTGCTGATTCTTTTGATTTTGTCAGGAATCACTACATACATATCAAGAGCACCGGAACAGATTTAGCGTCAAGGTACGGACGAATGGTAGACTTATCTGTGCAAGACAGATTAGGGATAGAAAAATTATCTAAGAAGATGCAGTGAACCAACAGTCCTAAGAGGAGATTTAGAAAATATTTCGATATAATCCTTGTACTTGTCAGTATAAAATGTGAGACCATGAAGGCGTTATGTGTTACTCTCCTATGTGTTACTCTCCTACGTGTTACTCCTATGTGTTACTCCTATGTGTTACTCCTGTGCGTTACTCTCCTACATGTTACTCTACTATGTGTTACTCTTATGTGTTGCTCCTATGTGTTACTCTCCTATGTGTTACTCCTTTTGTGTTACTATTATGTGTTACTCCTATGTGTTACTCTCCTATGTGATACTCCTATGTGTTACTCTCCTATGTGTTACTCCTATATGTTATTCTCCTGCGTGTTAGTCCTATGTGTTACTTTCCTACGTGTTACTCCTATGTGTTACTCTTATGTGTTACACGTATGTGTTATTCTTTAATGTGCTACTCCTATGTGTTACTCTCCTACGTGTTACTCCTATGTGTTACTCTTATGTGTTACTCCTATGCGTTACTCTGCTATGTGTTACTCCTATGTGTTACTCCTACGTGTAATTCTCCTATGTGTTACTCCTATGTGTTACTCCTCTGTGTCACTCTACTGTAAATTAGCATTAGCCATGCTGAATAAAGGCAAAAAGGAAAAAAAGCAATCTCAGATGATTAAACGAGAGCAGGTTTTTTGGAGGCATTAAGCCCTTGCTTGCACCAGTTAACAACAGATTGAAGATGAGACCGAGAAGGAGTTAGTCTCCTGGAGCTTAGCACGATCTTCTTATAATTATTTGTTCATCTTTTTATGATTTTTCTTTTTTTATGTGCCGTGTCCATTCAGGAAATTGTTAGTCATGACCATCCACATCTTCTTTTCACTTGTAGCGCTTAATAAGTTTGTTACTTCTCCCATGTAGGTGTTGTATTGGTCGTATTGTCTGGTCGTTTGTAGACTAACTTCCCTCCCTCTTGTTTGCACTGAATATCTATATTTTCTCAAATCTTGTGGTCGCCGTGATTTTGCGTTAATTTGTCAGCATAAAAACAATATGGCTTCCCTACGAGATTCTTTTTACGTACGGACGCCCATGAGGTAAGTTTTTTTTTTTAAACTACACGCCCCCCTGATCTCATGATCACATCTCATGTTACATAGTCATCCATCTCCCTGTGCTGGTCTTGCTCTCTTTGCGATCACCGCAGTGTTTGGGGCTGAGCCTCATGAGAACTTCTCCCATTGTCTCCCATCATTCTCTGAATCCTCTTGAATCGCTCAAGGTCAAGAACATGTCTTGGCATACCATCCACCTCAACATTGTTGGGCGACTGCGCCCCGGTAACCGTACCTCTTGTCCATTTCGCCGTGCAGCGGGCTCCAGTTGGCTTGAGCCAAACCTGCTCTCCAATCCGTATAAATTCAGGCCCTATTCTGCAACCCACTTGCTCAAGCCCAACAAGTAGGTTACAACGCTGCTTTCCTCTGTCCCGTGAGTATCGGATTTTCCAAGCCCTCTTTCCTCATTACATGCCCCGGAATTTTCAAGGACTCTTTCTTTTTTTTTTTGGTTTCCATTTTCTCTAAAACCTCGTCGTTGCTCACATGTTCGGTCCATGGTATCCTCAGCATCCTTCTGTAGAAATTTCAACTGCCTATTCCTGATATTAAGTATAAGTTTCTTTTTCGTTTCCATTTTCTCCAAAATATCGTTGTTGCTGACATATTCGGTCCATGG